CCCCTTGTAACTTTGTTTTGCAATAAAGACCCCCTTGAATTTCTATACTTAGTGCTTTTCCCTTTCCATTAGCATCCCATTTGATGTAGCTTCCAAAATATATCAACCTAGACAAGGATAGTATTCATTTTGTTAATTCTTTCATATGCAACAAAGGAGCTTTGCTTTACAAGTTACAAACTTTGAGAGATGTAGATACAGTAATATTTAGGCAGTTTTTGGTTCCTCAAAGAATTAGTGAAAAAAAAACAGTTGTGGGATAAATCCTTTAGGATTGGTTGCCCAAAATTTCATAACTAATGCTACATTTTTGGCTCCTTCAAATAGAAGAAACAAATTTCCTAGCAAATGACGTAATATTGGTGTTGTTTATCACTTGATATGGCTAAATAGTGATGCTCATTTCGAGTGCACCATGTGGCCTACATCAAAGGGCAAATTTAGAATTTTGCCAAATGGTTAACCACTATGCTAACTTAGTAATAACCACATGATAGTGGCATGATGATAATTGTGTAATGATCTAGTAATGACTAGGTAGGTGTTGATGTTGAAATTGGCCATGAGTGTGGAGATGGAAATTTTCTAGAGACCTTGGTTGGTAGTGTATCACCTCGGCGGCTAAGAGAGTCCTACAATCAGAAGAAACGTTAGAGGCCCCGGGGTGATACCTTAGGGGTGTTGACTCTAATGGTTAAGTTAGTAACGCCAAGGGAAGAAGATGAGCTAGAGAGATCAATGAGATGTGATGAGGTGAGGTGATGTGTGTCAAGGTGTCTGGTGTGTGTAGTATTGAGTATCATGCAATGTGATGCCTTCCTCCCAAAAAAATGAGGGGCTCACCTATTTATAGGAGAACGACTTCATCCAAGAATCGACTTGTCACTTACACATAGTTGGAGCTCGGTCAACTTGTCATGCCCTTGGTTTAACACATTGTATGCATGTGGTAGGTAATGGGCTTGCATGGAATTCATTGGCATTGATGTTCTGATTAGCTTGGCCATGTATATTTATATGAATGTCTACATGTTGCTTATGCATGTTATGAATTGGTACCAAGTCAGTTCAACGAGATCAAGTTGGCTTGATAAGATTAGGTTAGCTCGACCAAATCAAGTCAACTCGTCCAAGTAAGGCCAACCTGCCTTAGGCAAGCTTAGTCAATTAATAACTTCACCCCCAACTTATTACCACTTAGTGATTTCTAATTGGTGGTTAGTTTTAGCCATATCAGATTCCCTCCATTTTCTGAGGATGAGATTGCATTCAGATTGGCTCGTCCAAAGGAAGTACCAAATTGGTTACTTGTGTCTCCAAGTTGATAGGTTAGCTTTGCCTCGTGTTTAGCTGAGTTACCATAGGTTGGCCATTGCCTCAGGTTAGTTTTGTGGTCACTTTGGCTTGGCTAGGGAGTTTGCTAGTTGAGGTGGTGAAATGGAAATTTTGCTCAATTTCTCACAGGTGATGCCATTTTTTTTATGTTAAAATTGGCCGTGAGGGCGGATATGGAAAGTTCTAGAGACCTTAGTTGGTAGGGTGTTGCCTTGGAGGCAAGGGAGACATGCAACTAGAATAGATGTCAGAGGCCTCGGGGTGATATCCTGGGGGCGTGGGCTCCAACCAAGGTTCAAAATATCGTTACGTATCGGCCCGTATTGGTCGATACGTATCGTACTGTGGTCTTCCCAATACGCTCCTCCAGGGGGTGTTTTAGGCCAAACACTGGTTCAAAGGGTAGTTGGGCCTTAAACTGACTCCTCTGAACCAGATTTGGAAAAAATAAAAATAAAACACAAAAAAAAGCATTGATACAGGCCGATACACCTTACTAGCGTATCAGCCTGTATTGATACTTTGAACCTTGGCTCCAACAGTAAAGTTAGTAACACCAAGGGAAGAGAAGATGAGCTAGAGAGTTCAGTGAGATATGTTATGAGATGAGGTGAGGTGAGGTGATGTGTGTAATTTTGAGTGTAATGTAGTGTGATGCCTTCCCCCCAAACAAATGAGGGGCTTATCTATTTATAGGAGAGGGTCTTCATCCATGAATCAACATATCACTTATACGTGGTCGGAGCTCAGTTCGCTTGTTACACCCTTGGTTAACATGTTATGCATACGTGGTAGGTAATGGGCTTGCATGGAATGTGGTGGCATTGATGTTTTGATCAGCTTGGCCTTATATATTCATGTTATGAGCTGGTACCAGGTTAGCTTAGCGAGATCAGGTTGGCTCGGCAAGATTAGGTTAGATCCGCCAAGTTAGGTCAGGCCAGCTCGTCTAAGTCAGGTCATGTTAGCCTGCCTTAGGTAAGCTTGGACAATTAACAACTTTGCCCCCTAACCTATTGCCACTTGGCGATTTTCTAGCTGGTGGTCGGTTTTGGTTGTATTGCCTCCCCTAAACTTTTTGGCACAGTTGCAAATAGAACCCCTCTCTATTTTTTGATAAGCTTTGCTAATTACTAGTGGACCCCTTCTCTTAGAATCCTCTAACAAGAGGCACGAAAATGTCCAAAATACCCATATAGTTACTTTTGACCAAAATGTTTATTTTCGAAAACTCTTCTTCATATCAATCACTACCCCAAACCCTTCCAATCACTTTTCCAAAATTGATTTATTTCCAAATTTGCCCTCCATATCAATTATTAAGGTAAAATTGCAAATTTAAAATCTATTTTTTATTGTATAAAAAAGTCTATATTTTTTATTGTTAACTTTTTTGTAGAAACCAACCTCAATAGTAATTGCATGGGTATTCTAGACATTTTCATGCCTGTTGTTAGAGGATTTTAAATATAGGGTGTCTATTTGCAACTGTATTAGAAAGTTCAGGGGAGATAATTGCAATTACTTAACTTTAGGGGGGGGGTTAGCAATTTTCCCTATTTATTTATATATCTTGTACTAGATCTATTCATCTATACTAGAGATACAAATTAAGGGTCCATTTGGTTCATAGTTGAAATTGGAACCGGAATTAGAATCAAAATCCTTTGGAATGGGAATCAGAATGGTCTATTCCTATAACCTTTTTGGTTCAAACAGAATCATGAATGAAAATTAGGATCAACTAGAATGTGGATTTCATTCCGAAGGGAGGGGGAGGGAATGACCATTCTCTTAAATGGGGAAATGCCATTCCACCAAGAATGGGAATGAGATTCTAATTCCACCCAACCTACAGTTGGAGTCAGAATGGCCTATTCCAATTCTGATTCCAAACCCCTACTCCCACAAAACAAACGAGCCCTAAAATTTTCATACAAGCAAATAAAAAACAAAGGCATTGCAAAAATTTCCTTAATTAGTAAATGTGGTGCACTTATCTAATTAACGAGGTTGAGCTTCAGCTTAGACAATCTCTTAACTAGTACCAATCTGATCATTAGTTGTAATCCCCTACTACATGTTTAAATCTATGACTTGTATTTTTTTAGGGGGGTGTACCTCCCTTCATGGTTTGGTTTGTATTTTTCTCTTTATGGTTTTGAACCACAAAACAGCTTCTTTGGCATTTTGCTGTGGTCCAAAGGTACAAAGTAAGAAAACTCTTTTTTTTTTATTATTATTATTTTTTTATTTTCTGGATGCCATGATTTCCATGGTTGTTAATGGAGGAAGAGTTTTATTCTCTGCTGTATGATTTCCATGGTTGTTAATGGAGGAAGAGTTTTATTCTCTGCTGTCGCCTGTCGGTATGGCACCATACTAAAGCAATGTATATGATACATCATACATTGGATTTGTATCCTCTTCCTGGATGATATATTAAGAAACATTAATATTGCAATACGTCGGTGCGTGTACGTATTGATTATCAATATCGTCGATACGTTATTTAGAGTTATCAATATGCTAGATTCTTATGGTTTCATAAAATTCTTAGTACACATTTATTTTATTATGGATACTTTGAACTTTGATAATGTTTATATGGTAATTGGCAAATTACTTTAACACCCATAGTTTACATAAACAAGCAATCTAGGCTACATGGCTCCCAATCAAATTTATGCAAATAAATCAAGGTAAAATGGTCTAAAAAATATTAAAAAAGGTAATTTTGACATTTTAAAAAAATTAAATTAACAGACTAGTGTTTTAACAAAAATGGAGCCTAGTGTTTCCACCACACAATGCAACCCAATGGGCATTTTTAACTTACAACCGAGTATGGTTTTCAAAACCGATTGGAATGGACGGTTAGATCAGAAAACTGGGAACCGGTTAAGTAATCGATTTCATTTATATTAAAATCAATTTTTGACAAAAAATCGTTGATTTGGTCAGTGACTTGTTAACCTAAGTAGTCAAATCGTTGACTTGAACAATGATTTTTGGCCTTTCTTTATTTTTTAAGTCAGAATGGGCAGTCCATTCGAACCAAACAGTCAGACCATTTAACCCAGAAACCTGTCCCCATAATGGTTTTCTATCTGATCCGATTTTAAAAACCTTTCAACCGAACACCACCTACCTAACTCAACCTTTCGTTAAAATGGGACCTGTGAAATAAGGGTGAGCAAATGGGTAGGTTTTACCTAGAATCGAATGAAACTGACTTCAAATCGGCCTTGAACTAACCCTACTCGATTTGTTACAAGGTAAGGTCATGTTCCAAATTCTTGAAAGTTGGAACAACCCCCACCCAAATTGATTCCAGGGTCTAAGGGTTTAGACCCGATGAACCAGCCTTGATTGGCCTTGGTGGAACTAGCCTTTAAACCAAGTTTGCCTTGAAATTAACCCCAAGATGTTAAAAGGTAAATAATAAATATAATAAATTTTATCGTTATAAATAGGGCTATCTTTGGTATTTTATTGGAAAATTGCGTGGGTTTATAAAAAATGGAATGTGCCCCAATCGATCTCCCAAAATAGTTCTACAGTTCTACGGGTTGGTAAATAGTAAACTAGTAGCCTCTTTTTCCTTAAAAAAAAAAAAAAACAAAAATACTAAGATACCGTAGAGGAGAAATACTGGCGAGTTGGTGAGCCGATTTCTAATTCTAACGAATTAACGTTGATCTGATCGTCTCCTCCTCGTCTACTGTCGGAATTCAAACCTCGGCGAACTGGCGGAATCGCCCAACCAAAGTCATCTCCATTTTACGATTATTAACAAAAAAATTGTAATTTTCCTTTTTTATTTTTCTCAACGTAATTAGTTTCGGAAAGTATTACTTGAATTACTTGCAGCGCAAACACAGGTCAAATTACTCAATAATTGAAAGGAAAAGGGAGAGAAAAAAAGGAGGAAAGAGAAAAGAACAAGGAAGTAAACCGGGAGAAGCGATCATAAATCATCGTGTCTGTCAGATTCCGTTGATCGGGCAATCGGATGGTATTGAGCATCGTAGGTCGTCCGATATGGTCGGCGGCAGCGGCGGTGGTCGTGCTGGTGGTGGCACCGGTGGAGAGTGGTGGTGGGGTTCCTTTTGAGTGGTGGAGTGGTGGTGACGCTTTGTGGCCCAGCGGCCCGAGCCGGGATGAGGAAGGCCAACGGGAGAAGTAACGGCTTGTTGCCCAATTCTCTCAGGATTATTTCGTCTTGTTTGAAGACGGTGTCAACGAATGCCACTACAGTGGCTTCCACTGTTCGCTCTGCCGGAGCATCTGTCGCCGCTTCGATTTCTGTTGCTTCCGAGCAACAAAAGGATCAGGTTCCTTTTCTTCTTTGGTTCGTTTTTCTTTTGGCGCTCTTATTCAGTTCTGTTTGCCTTTTACTTCTCTTCGTGTGTTAATTCATTATTTCTGCTCTGAATTTCTAATTTGCTCCTTTGGCTCTTGATTTCTGAGTTTATTCTTAATATTGTATTCTTCTTTAGATGTTCAAGATGGAAAAAATGACAATAGAAAAGCAGAACTTGTTCGATTATTTCTTTCAATCATCTGGTTTCTTGTTTTTGTAAAGTTATATTTTCAAATTCGAATTTCTAATTGTGGGTGTGAGAATGGATGGTTGTTTCTCTCTGGTTTGTCCATTCCTTAATTATACTTCTAAAGGATTGCTTGTGTTGCTGGGAATGGTGTTTGTATTGTTCGATACATGTAGTGGAATAAAGGCCAAAAATTTATAACTCTGCTTTCTTATTTCTCCATTTGATCTACGTTTTTTAGAACAAGCTAAACATTGAAAACCTCTGCCTTTCTGTTTTCATGACTTCTTTGTGTGTATTTCTCTGGGTCATGTATTTTTTTTTGGTAGAGCCGGAGTAATTGGTCTTGGGGCAGTTTTATAGGGTGTCTGGAGCAAAGCAACTTGCTGCCTTTGTTCCTCTTTTCAGGCTTCAGCATACTAGGAGGGGGTTATATCTTTTCAGGTCAATTAATTAATAGTTGTCCCTGCATCCATAGGTTTCCAATATGGGGTGGCATAAACTATCTAGGGCTTTTAGTAGTTATAGATACTTCGGGTTAAGGTTAGAATTCCACTTATCTGCATTAACCACTGGCTACATGATAAATTAAGTTAAAAATTTCATATTCATGAATTTCATCAAATGTTGGATGGATTATGTAGGAATTTTAACCATAGCTATGCAAACAAGCTTGTCTTAGTAAGATCATGGGATCTGTATCTTTTTTATCGGTAACAAACAATCAAAGCATGACTTGCTTCTCAACCACAAAAGTGATGTCTCGTTGTTCTTGGTCTCTCCTTCAAGTCAATTATACCAAGCTACTATCAAAAGAAACAAAGCCAATTGTATTAAGCTCAATTTTGATGGCTGCAGCTTAGGACATCCAGGAAAACTGGGCATGAAAGGGGCTTTTAGAAACCAGGAAAGTGATATCTTGCTTATATATTCACCTCCTATTGGCAATAGGAATTCAATTTGGGTTGACTTGCTCTCTCTACAATCTACATGGATTTAGGATTGCAGTCTTTATGGGCTAGGGCATACTGGAGATTAAAGCTGAATTTCAAGTAGTAATTAGGTGGATGAAAGAGGTGAAAAGTAGATGGAATTGAATGAAGTGAAAAGTAGTAGTTCAATTTACAATTTAAACCTCACAATTAAATAGGGACTAAATTAAAAAATGAGTGTTTTAGTTAAAAGAAAGTTTCACAATCTTATTCATATTTTTAATAGTAGCGTAAATATAGAATTATAGATGTGTTCAATTTTTTCTATAATTTTTTTTTGTATTCCTGTGTGTAAAAATGATTCTGATTTGTTGCACTTACTTTTTGTTTAATATGATAAATATATGATATTATACATGTACTTGAATGTTTTTTTTTTTGCATAATTTATGTATTTTTTATATTTTATTAATTTTTATTATTTATTTATGACATTAAAGGTTAACACATTTGACCCAAAAATTGAATTTATGACATTTGCCTCCATAAAGGCCCCCTTGAGGTAAGCCCAAACAAGTTTATGTTGGGGTTTAGGGCAGTGTCGTCGACCTAAAATTTTAGCCTGCATATATAGAGGGGTTAGTTTTGTCTTTGTTGTCACAATTTATTCTATTTTAGGATTAGGAATTGGATATTAGTTGTATTGTTGTTGCTTCTTTTTTGGAATATTTTCTATTTGAGATCCTATTTGCAAGAACTATGGTTTTAAGTATTTGAGAGGTCTTTTTTCTGTAGCAAGAACTAAGGTTTTAAGTATTTGAGAGGTCTTTTTTCTGTTAATAGACCATTACTAGTGCACAAACAGCAATAATAGGTAATTTAATAGTTGATAAACCATTACAAAGGTGTAAAACATATAGGAATCTACAAAGGTGCTCCAGGTGTGTGCTTTTTAAAAGGGGCTGTGCCTAGGTTCAGGTGTGGCGGATGCCTGTGTGCTTCCAACATGCCTCACAAAATACTACTTGAACATGATATCATTCCTTTTTTCCCTGCCAGGCTGCCAGTTACAGTGCATCCCCTATAGAAACAGAAAAAAGAAGAACAAAAAATCTGCCAGTGAGGTCTGTTGAAAATCAAAATCCAAATAGAAGTTTATTCTGGATTCATTATCAAAGATAGGCCATCCCTCTTTATACCAACGAAATAGAAACAAAGAAGCTTCCAAAAGTAAATCCAACTTGAGCACAACTCATGGCAGTATCTCCAAGAAACTTGTTGTGAATAAGGTTGATGGATATTACTTTAACTCTCTGTCCAATAAGACATTTTGATAAATAAGGTTTTTATTTTTTTTAAACATGTATGTACTATAGGACCCTGTCATTAGGATGCTTGTATCATGGTAGGGCACCATGTGCTAAGAATGACCATGCCAAGAAGATGCATCTGTGTTTCAAAATATAGATTTGATAGCATGATCAATTTTCCAGGATGCATTACAATCAAGGGAATAATAAGAAGTAATAAAATAGAAAAATAGAAAGGAAAAATTTTCTGTAATATACTTAAGTAGGAAGCTTCCCTACATGATCTACCCTATTTTAACCATGTGGAGGAATCTTATGGCCAACCTAGACTGTTCATCAGATAGAGGAACCTTTGGGTTGGCAATGTTTTGAATCCTGCAGTGCATTAGGTCTTATCCAACTTTAGATTATAATTATGTATATACGTATATATACACATATATGTATGTATGGATATAGGTATAAACACATTTTATCAATAATTAATGCATAATTATATTCTACGTGTAATATAGGTATAATTTGGTTAACCTTTTCTAAAAAAAAATACATGTAATATATGCATTATTTTATATTTAATTTATATTTTGTAATTTAGTTTTTAATTTATTAAAAATGTTAAAAAAATTCAATTTAAGGCCCCAAAAGGGTTTTTTTGGAAAAAATAACGAGGCAAGGCACCCACATAGATCTCAAAAAGTTACTCAAAATAAAAAAATCACTCCAATCGGACATCCGAGCACAAAGTTATGTTCTCTTGAAATTTGCAGATGCATTGAGTGTGGCAAGGCACCTTCAGCGCCTTGGAACACATAGATCTCAAAAAGTTGCCCAAAGTAAAAAAATACCCCAATCGGACATTCGAGAGCAATGTTATGGCCTTTCGAAGCTTGCACATGCGTTGAGTGTGCAACTTGTGATCTAGTGACTAGGCTAAATGGGTCAACAGTTCAACTGTTTGGGTCATATGGTTTTTGACCAAGTCAACAGGTTTTGAGCAAATCTTGGGTTTTAGCCAAACTGGACCTAGAATCGTGTCCGGGTGATGGTTTAGATGGTTCAACCATCCGGATCAGCGATGGGTTGAAAACACTATCTAAAGCACATGATAAGGTCTTACGAGCTGAAAAATTTTCTATGAATCTAGGAACTGAGAGGAGGAATTGGAGGATTCCTTTTGACCTCCAATACTTTGCTATGTGTAAGATTCCTTGGTTGTTTGGAGAAGTTTGCTGAGTTTTGCACTTGAGAAATAGTTTCCAGATGTTTAATATGTAAAATATACTTTTGAGAAAGGAAACTACTTACCAGACTGGAGTTAAATACGGCTAGGGCTTCTGTCATGGTCCAGGTGGTCAAATCATCTTGGCCTTTTCATTTGTTGGAATTGGTTTGACATTCTTATCCTAGAATTTTCATTGTTATGTTGAAAAAAATACTTATACTTATCTACATACTCTAGATTAGTGTTTTTGTTGTTGTAGAGAAATCTGATGGATAATAAATTTAGGTCCAACTTATTTGCTAAAGCATTTATATGTGGCAGTGTAGATAGTCATGTAGACTGGATTTTGCAGCATGTGCTAAAGTTCTTGACCAAACAGGTATTATGGGCTGGCTTTGACAAACTAGAAATTGGTCAATCTGCGTTCAAGCATGTGCTTTTACTTGGTTACTCCAATGGCTTTCAAGTCCTTGATGTTGAAGGTGCAGCTAATGTTGGCGAATTGGTCTCTAAGCGTGATGGCCCAGTTACATTTTTACAGATGCAGCCTATCCCTGAGAAACCTGAAGGCTGTGAAGGATTTAGAGCATCACATCCTTTACTATTGGTAGTTGCAGGGGATAAAACCAACTGTTCAGGGCCTGTTCATGTAGGGGGGCATTTGAATGGGCTTATCAGAGATGATAATATTGGCCCTCAACCTGGAAACTGCATCTCTCCTACTGCAGTTCGATTTTACTCACTAAGGTCACATAATTATGTTCATATGTTGAGATTCCGGTCAGCCATATATATGGTCAGATGCAGCCCTAGGATTGTAGCTGYTGGTCTTGCAACTCAAGTAAGCATTATACCAAACAAGTTACTATTATTAGATTACTCAATATTTTGAGTATTATGAATTTAAGTATTGATCAATAGTAGGAAATGGGAATATTAGTACATGTTATGCACTTGCACCAGGGTTAGAATCCATGGTATCCACCATTCAGTTGGTCTGTATAAACCTCCTGGAGTGTTTCAGAACTATTCACTAGAGTTCCTTTAACAGTCCAGAACAGTTTTGGTAGAACACAATAAGCTGCTGCTACCTCTTGAATCTTGACCTAAGAATTTTCCTAGACAGTGCACACAGGATATGAGGATCAAATCTGATGCATATAGGTTACCTGTCATGTTATCCTATCCGCAGATGGTTGTTCCATCCTTTAGCCTTATAGTCTATGGATTAAATTGCATTGTCTGACCAATTATTTTATTGTACTTTTGCAGATATACTGTTTTGATGCACTCACATTGGAGACAAAATTCAGTGTTTTGACCTATCCTGTCCCTCAGGTAGGAGGACAAGGAGTGGTTGGTGTTAACATTGGTTATGGTCCAATGGCTGTGGGGCCCAGATGGCTAGCTTATGCTTCAAACAATCCTTTATTGTCAAACACAGGTCGCCTTAGTCCACAAAATCTTACCCCTTCTCCAGGTGTTAGTCCATCAACTTCACCTAGTGGTGGGAGCTTGGTGGCTCGTTATGCAGTGGAGTCAAGTAAACAGTTGGCTGCTGGCATAGTGAATCTTAGTGATATGGGATACAGAACGTTGTCTAAATACTGCCAGGAGCTTTTACCTGATGGTTCTAATTTGCCATTATCAACAAATTCAAGCTGGAAAGTTGGTAAACTTGCCTCATCAACACATTCAAATGAAACAGATAATGCAGGGATGGTTAGTCCTTTACACAAATTTTTTGTTGTTTGGACTTCAGAAAGGGAATTCTCAGGAGATAGTTTTTGTCTTATAACTGTCAGAAAAAATTAAAAAAGAAGTGTGTGTGTGTATGTATATATTTATATAGTTGTCAAGGCGACGCCTAGGCGATTAGGCACTTTTCAAAGAACGCCTCGCCCAAACGCCAACTATGTTAGGCGCATGCTTATATAAATATTTATTAAATAAAAAAATATAAAATATATAATATTTTATTGGTTGTTTTAGTTATTATAATAGAACCTATTGCATGTTATCATGCTTTTGTATTGAGGAAAGTAAAAACAAGGTTAATCTTCAAGGGTTTCACATTGACAATAGAATCGAAGTATCGAACTGAGGAAGATGAGAGAACAACAGCCTCCATCCTTCCCACACAGTCCTCTAAAGTCAAGGTGAGTTAATCCTTCTTCTTCTTCTTAGTTTTGTTCTCTGTTTCCTGGTTTAAAACAGTGGTTACGCCCCATTTTCTCCTCTTCCTTTTTGTATCTTTTCTCCAAGTTTTTTGAATAATTTTATTGGACTAAAACAGGGGCTCCACCCCCTTCTTTTGTTCTTAAATTTTCTGCATGTTTTCAGCTTTTTTTTTTTCTCATTATTGGTGTCTGAAACAGGGGCGGAACAGGGGCTCCGCCCCCTTCTTTTTTTCTTAATTTCTTCCATTTTTTCAGCTTTTGTTTGTTCTCATCATTGGTTTCTGAAACAGGGGCTCCATCCCTTCTTTTCTTCTTTTATTTTAATATTTTTTTCACCAGATTTTCTGGGTCTAGAAAGGGGCTCCGCCCCCTACTTTTCTTTTTCATTTTCTTCTTTTATTTTAGTATTTGTTCCTTGTTGATCTAAAATAGGGGCTCTGCCCCTTCAGTTCTTTCAAGTTCCAAGCACAAAAGTAAGTGCAGAATACATAAATCCAAAAAAAACTAGTTCAAAAGGGTAGAAATTCATTGGAAACCTTAGTTTTACATTCCATCGCCTAGGCGAGGGCTAGGTGCCTAGGCGCCTGGGCGCCCCATGGTCGCCTAGCCTCGCCTTGGCGCCTTGAAAACTATATTATATTATATATACTTCATTAGAAATTATATTATATTATATTATATTACTTTATTAGAAATTAGATTGTTTTAATAAAAAAATTAACATGAACTTCTGATTTGTCACTCATTATTCATAAATTGTTGCCATTGAACATCATTATTAGATTCATTATTCTAAGATTTCAGAATTGATTGTTTTCTACAACATATGTTTTTTTTTTCACCAATCTGAAAATAATAGATCTATAAAATGATTACTGTTGGATTGACCAAATTATCAGACATGTAATGTTATGAACTGATTCTCCTGTGTCATTCTAAGAGTTACGTGGTTAAATTGGTTGGTTACAGGTTGTTATTAAGGATATTGTCTCTAGAGCGGTTATCTCACAATTTAGAGCTCATACAAGTCCATTATCTGCACTCTGTTTTGACCCAAGTGGGACCCTTTTGGTTACAGCCTCTATACATGGGAACAATATAAATATATTCAGGATTTTTCCATCCCGCATTCAAACTGGATCAAACACTCCTAGTTATGATTGGAACTCTTCTCATGTGCATCTTTACAAGCTATATCGTGGAATAACATCAGCTGTAAGCAATTAAGATAGTTTTTTATTTTGATTTCTTTTTCTTTATAGATACTTGTTATTCTATTCCATTCTTTGCTGTTTTGCTGTTTATTACTCTCCCTGGGTTTCCGTTCTTCTCTCATTCTTTTCTCTGGGTATTTGTCATTCAGGTCATACAGGATATCTGTTTTAGTCATTATAGTCAGTGGATAGCCATTGTTTCCTCCAGAGGAACTTGCCATGTGTTTGTTCTATCTCCTTTTGGTGGTGATGCTGGTCTTCAAACACAAATTTCTGATACTGATGGGCCTATGCTCTCACCAGGTCTTTCTATACCTTGGTGGTCTACTTCATCCTATGTGGTAAACCAGCAGTTGTTTCCACCTCCACCATCCATTACACTATCTGTTGTAAGCAGGATAAAGAATGGTAGTTCTGGTTGGTTTAATACTGTTAGCAATGCTGCAGCTTCTGCAACAGGAAAGCTATTTGTTCCATCTGGTGCTGTTGCTGCTGTTTTCCACAATTCTTTATCTCGCAGTCTTCAGCCCATTCCCTTGAAATCCAGTGCCATGGAGCATCTACTGGTTTATACTCCATCTGGCCATGTGGTTCAACATGAACTTGTGCCATCCTTGAGGGTAGAACAAAGTGATGGCAGTTCAAGAATTGGATCAAGTCCTACAATGCAAATACAAGATGATGAGTTGAGGGTAAAAGTGGAACCTCTTCAATGGTGGGATGTCTGTCGAAGATCTGATTGGCCAGAAAGAGAGGAATGCATTTCTCAAGTTACCCTCAATAGACAAGAAGCTGTAGAGATGATCACGGAGAACTCTAATTGTGAAGATAATGATATGAAGTATATGTTGGAACATGATGATAATGTAGCAGGGAAAGAGTTGTTAAAACCCTGTGGAAGATCCAATTGGTATCTCTCTAATGCAGAAGTGCAGATTGGCAATGGGAGGATACCCATATGGCAGAAATCTAAGGTACTGATTTTAATTTGAGTTGTAAGATGCCCCAATATGTCATCATGCTTCATTTTGGTTATGATTCTTTCACATTTTTCTAGATATCCTTCTATGTGATGATTCCTATGAGGGCCAAAGAGAGGGGGTATACCAAAGATTCTGCTGGTGGAGAGGTTGAAATTGAAAAGATCCCTGTTCATGAGGTTGAGCTAAGGCGTAATGATTTATTGCCTGTTTTTTACCATTTCCACAGTATCAAATCGGATTGGAATGACAGGTAATGATAATGCTTTAACTGCATTTCTTTTCAGGTATAGTTATTGCTTAAGATTTGATTATGTATTCCTTTTAACGTGATATAGATCTTTATCTTACTAAAATTTTTAGTTTCTCTAGACTTCTACCTCTAAATTGTTGGGTTGAAATAATGACCTTTCTTTCAAACTTGTTCTAATTCTATATTTTATGCAAAGGAGTAACAAGTGAAATACATATGAGATGAGTATCCACTAAGAGAAATCACAAAGTCCATGTTTCATCAACATCAAAGAACTTGTGGAGATATTTCCATTACATGGTGCTTCGAGCCTTTCTTTTCCCTCTTTTCACCAATAGCAGTGAAGAGAAGAGTGCACTGCACTGATTTCCTATATGCCCCCACTTTGCCTTTCAGATAATGTGACGTTCCACTTACTGGACCCTAGGTTTAAGTTGAAACAAATTTACCTTGATGCTATCAGCTTCTAAATATTTTACTCACCTTATATAATCTACATATCCTTTTTCCCCCTTGAAATTGAAAAGAGGGTCTACCAGAGAGAAAGACTCATCTAACTAACACCCAAAATAAAAAGGTTATGGTTGGTAGCTGAGGGCCAGTTCCACCATTACAAGCATCTACTTGGTATAGTTTCCACCACATGCTTTGACAGAGCCAAGCAATTCTTAGACAAGATGTTCTATCAAGAAACCATCTCTCAAATTCCTACAACACAAGGAGATAATCCCAGTGGAATGTCACACTTTCAGAGATCTTACCAACTGTATTTCTCAAAATCCATTTCCAATGGTACTTTGCAAGCCTTAGAGAGTACCAGTTTCATGACATTCTTTGGAGCAATGTTTTCAACCCACTGTTAACCCAGGTTGAACCGTCACCCGGCCATAATTCCATGTCAAGTTCTCCTAAAACCTGGACTTTGGTAAAAAAACCGTTGACCTGGTCAAAAACTGTCTGACCCAGGTGGTTGGACCGTTGACCCATTTGAGCCGGTGACCAGGTTAAGGGTTGTACACTAAATGTGTATGCGAACTTCTGGAGGCCATAATTTTGCGTTCAGATGTCTGATTGGGAGATCTTTTTTTTTAATTTTATTTTGGGTAACTATTCAAGATCTATGCATCCCAAGGCGCCTTCCCCCACTATTTTTGATAAAAAACCCTTTTTTGGCCTCAAATTACAATTTTTAGCATTTTTTAAAAACAAAATTAAGAATTGAATTAATTAAATTAAATATAAAATAATGCATATATTAATATAATTATACATTATTTATTGATAAAATATGTGTGTGTGTATAACTATATGTATGTATGTATGTACCTAGATATATGGTGTTTTGATGTGGCATGGTCTGACCTGTTGTTAGAATACCTTCGCAAGGAAATTACCAAAAGACATGAGGTGAACTATGGATTTTGTTTTTCTTGTTGACTTTGAGCTTGAGAGTTTTTATCTTCAAGAAATTTGTGTTTCTACTCCACAAAATTAAATATCTTTTGTTAAAATATAAAATGTAGGAAGAGAGACCCCTAAATATGGAGAACAGACTAGAGCATTCTCACTTTTCCATCTCCAGTACAACAAACCCTTTTCCTGAGCCAAGTACCCCAATAAATCTTTTCCTTCCGCATCCATTCTTTAGTAGGGAATCTGCTAATGTTTTGGCAGATCTTCTGATCCTTTTGAATGAGATTTTATAGATAAAGCCAAAGCGTACTTGTATTATGCAAGACAATCCAAAGCACCTAAATGTAGAAAATGAATGCAAATTTCCTTGTCTATTTTGTAGTGTATAAATATTTATTTATATGTTCATCTTTCTCTTTGTTAAATGTTTTAGTGAACAATGCATATGCGAGAAGGGTTATTTTTTCCTTTTTTTTTTCAGTACATTGCAGCCATCTCTTTCTCTAAAATCATCATCCATGTAAAAACCTTGAGCTTTAGTGGTTATCATGATCCCTATTTCTTTTCTTAACTTTCTTTACCTTCTTGTAGGCCCAACTCCAAACAAGCCCCCTTTCAACCTTGCAAAAAATTTCAACACTTGAGCGGGTTGATGATTTTTCAAATTTCTGAAACACCTTACAACATTGGGAATCCTCTCACATGCCTTCTGATCCTTATCACTAGCATTAGTTATCTCTAATTCCATGACCGCATTCTTCTTAAATGTCTGATCAGCTACTTTTTCTCTACCCTCTACAACATCCCCAGCCAGAAGTGTCTCTATCTATCCCAATCCATGTCAAGTTTTAAATTAGAACCAGCAAGATCATTATCCAAGAAAAAATAGGCCCAAGGATATGCTCACCTCCACTTCAGTATTCACCACTGTCTCTACATGAATCAATCTTTCAATTTCATGAGTTTAATCTATAAGAACATCTTCTTCATTTGATTCCTTGTCCTCAGCATCATCATTGTTTTCCATGTCATTCTTTTCACTCACCATAAGTGGTTTAGCTCTTTATTTTCGTTTCCTTTTGTAAACTTTTTAGCAGGAAGCTTCTACAGTATTTCCACCAGAACATCCGTCACTTCTTCATCACCAACTTCCACAGTTTCAAACCCCTCAAGGTGTTCTGATACCCAATGTTTTAAAACACAGAGACATGATGCAAGGCGTTCCACTACCTGCAGGTGAAAGACGTAGTTCAGAATGTAAGAGGCGTAAGCCTCGTAAAGAGAAGGAGAAGGAAGAAGAAGAGGAAGGGTATCTCTCTCTTTCTCTTGTTTCCCTTTTCTCTCCTTTCCTTTGCCTTTCTTTTCCTTTTTTGTTCTTTCTTTCTTTCCTTTCTTTTCCTTTCCCTTTTTTCCTTTTCATTTATTTTCTTTATTTTTCCATATGAGGCATGCACGCTCATGCAAAAGGTGCTTGAGGCATACGCCTCAGAGGCATCAATACCTCTGGCATGCACCTCAGGGCATTTTGGGCTACTGTGCCTCCAGGCATAAGCCTCCCATGCCTTTCCTGCACCTCATGAGACATGAATCCAGGTCTTAGTACCCTTCATGCATGGTTTTACAACTCTTACCATGATATTGAATTTGTCCCATCCCTATATTTTCTAATGAATAACAAGTCAAATGCATCATGATGGACCACAATAAAAGCATCAAAAAGTTAAAAATGGCGCCCTTTGGAAAAACAAGCTAGTGAAAATTGACACAAAATACTATCATAATAGGAAAAAAAAGACAGAAGATACTGTTTTCTTCCTTGGTTGATAACTTCTAACTATGCAGTATGTTCTTCTGGAATCCAAAATTCTTAGGTAATATATACCTTTCCACAATAGCTTCTTCTCCAGTTGCATAGAACCTAAAAAAGTTGATATTATGAGTCAAATACAAGAATTTCCCATATCCCTTCTTGAGTTTCCTTCTTTGTGTGGGAGGCTTGCTTGAAAAAATACACACTTGTGACTTGTTACAGCAGAAAAGCAAAGGCAGATTGTGTATCTCCCCCCATACTTGTATATTGTGCCTAAACAATGGTGAGACTGCTGATGAGCACCTTCTCTTACATTGCGCTCAGAAACAAGGAAAGTTTGGTGCTTCTTCCTAAATCTAGTAGGGTACAGCTGGGTCTTTCCTGAACACATTGAAGGGCCTCCTTTGGCAATGACAAGGATGAGGCCTTGGGAAAAGGGGAAAAGTGTATTGGCGAATTGTGGTTCAAGCAGTTACGTGGGGGGTGTGGGAGGAGAGAAACAAATGAGTTTTCAACAATAAAGCTAGATCTATGGGCGAATTGTTATCTTACATATTCCACTTGTGCAACATTTGGAAGTGCCCTTGGGAGCCCTGTTTTAGCAGGGATCGGGGGTGTGTTTAAGGGAAGGGATGGAAATTTGTTGTGGGCTTACAATGGTCCAATTGGGATGGCAGACTCTACAAAGGTTGAAGTTTTAGCAGTGCTAACTTGACACCGGATTGCAAGAGACCTTGGCTTATCTTCCCTTGTCATCAAAGGAGATTCGAGCAATGCCATTGGATGGCTTGGGGAGAAGAATGGAGAGCCATGGAGGCTAGCTCATTATCTGGATGAGGCTTGGGATCTCCGGGATTCTTTGAATGCTAATCTGTTCTGGATTCCCAGAGAGTTAAACTCCGTAGCAGATTGGTTGGCTAAATCAGGAGTCCACAGGGAACTTTTACATAGTGAGAGAGTTATGCCTTTGTAATCTGTGTGTGTGCTCCCTGTTGTACATATTCTCATGTACCCTTTTCTTGTTTAATAAAATCTGTTATCTTTCATCTCAAAAAATACAAGAATCTTGATATGTGTTATAATTACGAAATTTGTGTCCGTCTGTCCTTTTCTTTCTAGAGCAACTTTGCTTAGGAAAAATCTTTAGCTTGTTTTGGTATACAATTGTACCATGGGAACACTCCCATGTTGTGTTTCATCTGTGGGTCAAAGAATACTGCATATTTTTTTAATATATCGTTGTTATAAATCACATGCATGCTTATATTAATACGTAAAAAAATCTTTTTAATAGGTAAAATTATGATTGCATAAAATAAGCATGGAAGGGCAAGGAACCCCTCTTTAACAAAAAACTTTCATGGCCTTTTCACTATGACTATGCCCACATATACAGCACATACAACTATTCTTTTTCACAAAATGCAAGGATATCATTATGTAAGGCTCATATTTATCTATTCACAGTACAAAACTTTGTGCCCTGAAAATAAAACATGTTAAACCAAATCCTTTACCTTATCTTTTTCCTTATATCAGTTTCCATCTGATTGAATTCTTCAAAGCTATAGATGAACCTCACTACTATGTTTTTTTCCCTTTCTCATAACTTAACTTTGCAGATCTGCTTTCTATCCTTTTCCTTACAACAATAATTGATGAAGTCAATATAAATTCTGGGTAGCATTAGGAAAAAGATAAACTATCCCTCCATTGTCTGGAAAGTGGATCATATAAGATTCTTTGCATGAATTTTTGTAGGGGGAGATGTACAAATTTTTCTTCTTCTGATCTTCTTGGAAATAGGACAGAGATCATAGAAGAGACTATTACCTGCCACACTAAGCCAGCCTTTCTTGGATCTGTGGAAAGCTCAGATGGAGGTAACTAGAGACAAATTTTAACGTCTCATAATTTCTTTGAAATAATTTATACTAACTCCCATTTTTCTATGTGAAGCTATGGAAAGATGATGCATTAATGTGTTTAATCATTGATCTAGTCTATAATCAACAGAAAAAAAATTGTACAATCTCTTATTTGGTTCTTTTTCTCTCCATTAGGGTCATTGAGAACAACTGGATCTTTACCTGATTTAGATCAAGTGACGACCATGAAGTCCTATTCACATGAGAATCCAACTACCAATGATACTTACCATGAGACAAAGAGTATATTGAATTCATTGCTCTTGCTAAGCCAAAACGTTTCTGAACAAGTTGATGAAATATTTCCTTCTGAACATTCTATGGGCAATAATACTCATGTTACTGATGGTGCTCCCTCAATGGAAACTGGGACCAGTGAACTCTTGAATGCTAGTTCTGATTGTTCAGCTTCTGGTATTAACACCCTTGTGAAGGGGCCTGAGCATGTGGAGTTGCAAGAACCACTTGAATTTGAGCAGTACTTTCATGAGGGGTACTGTAAAGTAAAAGAGCTTGATGAATGCCGTGATTGCACTAACATTGTTACTGATACCGAGAGCAGCAGCAGCCACTGTGAGAGGGAGAAACCTGAGGAGGAAGGGGAGAATGATGACATGCTTGGGTGTGTTTTTGCCCTCAGTGAGGAAGGTAATGATTTCAAATATATGTATATGACTTTCTTGTACATGGACACGGCAGTTGTGATAGACCCTGAAACAGAGGTTTTGTTCAATCCTGTTTCTGGATGTATCTACTGGATATGGGTCTGTCCTTTGCACATTGTATTGCTATCTGCAGGAATCGAATGCTTAGGTTTACCGTATTTTGACATGTCAACATTCTTGATTGTAGTTACTAACTTGACTTTCTATTTCTGCAATGTAGGTTGATATGTACCTGTCTGTCCCAAGTCCAAGAAACAGCTGCAGTCATGCTACCTACCCATCATTAACATTCAAAAATCTTGTAGGAAGATCTGGATGTCTTTTCAATATGGAGGTTCAGTCGTTCAGATGAGGATTTTGCCAAAACTCATATTGAAGGAGAATGCAAATTTTCAACTCCTGACTGGTTGGGCAGCTGGTTCTGTGAATCCTGAGAAGAGAGTGCATTCAACACAAAATGACTCTCTGTGATGTACATGTTGTAGATGAAAATTCATTATTCATGTGTGTGTGTGTGGGGGGGGGGGGGGTAGCTTTTTGGCATGGGGAAGTTTGAACTCTTGGTACAGGTAGATTTGGGTTTGTTTCCCCGTCTTGAACTTTCAATCAAATTTGCTTTGTACAGATGATTTTAGGGTGAACAAGTTCTTCCTCCAATTTGTGTAACAAAATTGTATTCTTCAATGAAAAAAAAGGATAAAATGGTTCTTTATGTTCTATGAATAGGCCAGCTTCTTGTAGAGGTGAATATTTCTGTATAAAGACTCACCAGTTCCTTTTATTTTTGTCTTGATTCTTGTAAGATTAAAATGTTCAGCAGTTCATGGGTTGAAGTTAACTCAGTTATAACTGTTTCTCATAATAGTAATTGGTAAAACATCAGTTCCTTACAGGCAACCTGGGATAGAATGTATCATTACTCCATTTATCACCCTACTAAGTACTAACCTAAGGAGATAGATGCAATTGAGGTTTCAATTGGAGGGTAGAGCTCGTTAGGAATGGTAATATATTTTGGTAGCCCAGGACCACCAGGTATCAGTGTTGGGTGGGTCTCACGCCTACTTGTACTCTACCTGATTCACGATGCTTTTTACCGCATCATATTCAAAGGGTGGGCCATACCCTAGGTTGTTACACCTCCAGATGGAAAGGCTGCAACTGGAATTAGTCCTCCACGGCTCCACGCTATCTACCTTTGGCTTTGACATAATCGCAAGCGAGAAAAATCTTGATCTTTGCGGTTTGGTGAGTCACCGCCTCACCGGAGACCGGGGCATCCTGTTTCTCATCTTCGTTGGACTTTGACTCTCGTAGAGCTACTATCTCTGTATCCATTCATAAAAGCAACGACGGCCACGGCCATCCAAAGGCATTAATTCATCACTTCCACATGAAGATCCCATCCGGCGTTTCTCTGCGTACAATCATCACTTTTCTCTCCATTTCGTTTATCTTCTATGAATCCGCGGCTTCCTACTCAGATTCGCCTGGTTGGACCATTTCTCCTGCAAAAGTAAAGCAGGTCTCCTGGAAACCAAGGTCATTTTCTTTTTCATCTGAATTTAATTTACTTTTTTCCCTCTATTCTTTAGCTGAATCTATAATTTGCAGAGCTTTTGTCTACCAAGGCTTCCTTACAGACGAAGAATGTGATCATTTGATATCTCTTGTGAGTGTGCTGTCTTCAATTCGATTCAATAACAAGAGCTATGGTGAATTAATTTTCTTCTTTGGTTTGGAGAGACACCTACTATGCAATTTTCCCGAATTTAATTTTTTTTCTTCTACTTCTGATTGTATTTTGACTTGATTTTCCCTTGCTTTGTCGGTGGGGATGACAAAGGCGGAATCGGAGCTGAAGAGATCTGCCGTTGCAGATAATGTCTCAGGGAAAAGCAAACTCAGCGATGTCCGAACTAGCTCGGGAATGTTTATCAGTAAGGGAAAGGTTGTCTCTTGTATTTCCTTGTGCTCTTACAGCTAACTTATTAATATAGACGAGTCGGAAGTTTGCCTTCTAGCATTTCAGTTTCATTAATCTTTCTGGATCCCCTCCTCTCTTCTTTCGCATGCTCCTTTTTTTCCCTGTCCTTGGACTAATAATGCTAAGGGTTAATTAACAACATGAATTGAATACCAGAAGATTATCTAGAATGGGAAAATGTTAAGTATGCTCCGAGCATATGTAAACTTTCCAACTTTGTAGCCATGAAGATGCTGAAACTTAAAACCATATGTTTTATGGTAACTTAAAGTCTAGGTCACTCTAAGAAAGTATTGTGCTTCAAGGTTCCCCAAGGTACTACATGTACACAAACTCAAAGGGAACAAGCAACAGGATGCAAGCTCTTTTATTTAAAGACGAATTACCATTTCTTTTCTTTTTCTTTTCTTTTTTTTTTTCGAAAAGTAAGGTAAAGATTTTATTAAAAGAGAAAAAGAATAGAGTGCAACAATTTCCTGGCAGTGAAAGCTCTAACCAGGAAAGAAACCAGCTTACAAATTCCACAAGGACTGAGAGTTAAGCTGCTGGGATACATTCTGCTGCTTAAACTCATCGGTTACAGAAACCCAAGAGATCAACCTACTCACAGCACTCTGGATTAAATCCTCCCTACTTTTTCCTTTGTTATAAAAGACTTGACTGTTTCTTTCGGCCCAGATTGACACTAGGACAGCCTCAGGAATGGTCTTCCAAATCAGCACTCCGAATTATCATTTTTTGCCTTAATAATGGCAATATGGAGGAAAACGATCCTAATGTGTTAGCCAGATTGAGAGAGGCAGCTATTCTATGCAATGCTGAACCATGAATAGACTGTAAGAATGTGATAATAGGTAATTCATTTTATGATTCATCCTCATGGTAGGACCACATAATCAACAGAACCTAATTGGAATGCATCCAGACCTTTTTCTCAGTGCTAAACCATGTATTATCCTGACCATAACCTAGTCATTATGAGTTTTATGACTGTTCTAGTCCTTTTATAACCTAGTCCCTTTTCCTCTGCCCCTACCCCTTCAACTGAGCAAGGATTAGCTGAATGCGGTGGCTGTTCAGAGGCTGTGGAACCAATGATAAGGTTCCATGCCAGTAATAAAATACATGGGACCCACACCTTTTACAGTGGGGTCCATGAATTTATTACTGGCATGGAACTTCACCATTGGTTCCACAGCCCACTGAACAACCATTGCGTTCAGCTAATCCAAATTCCCTTCAACTTGCAATAGATAACTTCTTCTTATGGGTGCTTTAGATGGTCTTCTATGCACTTGACCAAACCATCTTAGTGTACTTTCTCTCATCATCTGTTGGAGCTACTTCTAGGTTCCTCGAATGACTATATTTCTGACTCTAAGAAAAAAGAATAAATAAGAACATGGAAAGCAATGACTAGGATAAGAATAACTAGATGAGAACATGACTAGAAATAGGCCTTCATTTAGGATATTATAAAACAATCATTTCTATAATCCCCAATAAGTTATCCATAACAAAGGAGAAGTTGGGAAAGATGTTAGTCTTGGAATTACAATTGGTATGGCAAATTAGATATATGTCTCCAAAACATGACCTACAATACCAATTGAGTTGAATGGAAATTTTGTACATTATTGCTAATATCAAGAATGAACATGTGCAGTGGAAGTATGCCATTGAAAAGGAGAATGTTGGATCGATAATCAAGACAGTGTACCCAGAGAATGAGTATAGCTAAGGCTGTTTAGATGGACAAGTGCAAAAAATAGGAAGCTAAAGTGAATCTCAGAACTTAGGTATTGCCCTGATGCTTAATGGATAATGAAATTAAGGGAACCAGCTGAGACATTTTGCTCTTTGTGAAAGAAGAGTGATGGAATTTACAAGTGTCATTTGTGAATGTTGTTACATGGTCTAGAAAGACAACGCCTGATTGAAGAGGACATGGATTGAAATAATGATGGGGTGTCTCCAAGGTTCAAAGTATCGGAAACACAAGGTGTATCGGAAAGGCAATTTTAAGAGATGAATTGGAATACACCTTGGATATGCATATATACGGATGAAAAATCAAGGTACGCATGGAGAAAAATGGTTTTTATATTGGTTTAACGAGCATTTAATTAAGTGATATTAGCATTTAATGACATGTCAAATTCAAAGGCTTAATTAAAAGTGATATAAATGAGAGAGAGAGGAGAGGAAAATTAAATTTGAATTTGAATTAAAAAAGTACAAAGAGAGGGAGATTCAAATTCAGATTGTATCGGCTGATAAAAAACCAAAATGATCCGATACAAGGCCAATATGGGCTTGTATCAGTCCGATACAAGCGAAAAATTGTAAAACTATGTAATTATTATACGTTCTGTGTATCAATTGGCTAATATGGGCTGATACATTGTGAAATTTTAAACCTTGGATGGCTCTACATATAGCAAGTATCACCTTGGGATTGGACACAACTCTTGACATGTGATAGTAAGTTATGAACCAATTATTGACTAGCCACATTAGGTATACATTTCTGGTTCATATAAAGTTCCTACTTCTACATGGATGACCTCTACTTGTTGATTCCTATCAGGTGCTTCTCCTCTAATTAGTTGTGTATAATTGACTTGTTCTGTTAATCATCTCCTTACTATTATTTAGGAACCCTATGGGCTATTCGACTGATTAGGCATTTAGGGTTTTAGTATTTAAAAGCCAAATAATGCCTTTCTAGTAATGTTTGTTATTCTGTGTTATATTTGTGACATTCCATTCGCTTTTTTCTTCTTCCCCGCCAAAAGAAAAATGCTTTGACTACAGTGGCTAGAACTAGAAAACCATGTTCCTCTATTTTAACCAGTTCTTCTATTCTTGTGTAGTGTTAAGTATTTTCCTTTTATTCCCACATATCTACTGTATCACTTCACTAAAAGTAAGGTGGTGGAGTTATAGTATGTGTTTTAGTTGTCAAGTTCTTGCAGCATGGCAAGCTCAGAAGATGTTTGCATCAGATGCAACCATGCATATAGAGAAGCAAACCAAGTTACAGACTGGTTATCCAACTTAGGCGTATTGATGAATCTTCACATTTTTCAAGGAATGGATATGCCCAGGTTCTTAAATATATTAATTTCTATTTTCTTGGGGGTGCTACCCCCATCTTGTATGGCCCTTTTCTTATTTCTTAATCTCCCAAAAAAGGCTATCATGTGGTTGCTAGGTTTTTTACAAATCCCTTAGTTGCCATCTATTTTTAGTTTTGCTATCTTCTTTTTTTTTTCAAACTATATACAGGACTAGTAGTTCTAGGCAACACTTCTTATTTGTGAAGTTTCATAAGTTGGAATATTAGATTGACAAGAATATTTTTTTTCTGAAGCAAACCCATGTTTAGGAAAATTTTGCTGATACTTTTACCACCTCTTCACCCTTCAATTTTTGGAAGTTGGCTAAATTCTACTTGGATGCCAGTTTTTAGATTTGGTTTCTTATCAAATCTTATTAACTTGCATTTGGCAGTTGGCACTGCACTTGTTCTGTGCTTATAGCTGTCTTTTCTCCATAGTTAGCTTACTGCAGTGGTGGAAGTTGTTGATATGCATTATGTGAAGTAATGGAATTTAAGATTTTTGAACACTTTGCCCTTTTCTCTTATATGTTTTAATAAACTATTTACTCATTTCACATTTTCTGAAAATTTTATTGGTCTCATCTACTAGTTTGTTGAATTATGGTACCTTGATAATGCTTTTTCTTTCTTCATAACTAAATTTTCATTTTCCTAACATGCATTACAAACTCATTGTTATTATTATCATTTTTTGTTTAGGATCCCATTGTTACTGGTATAGAGGACAAGATTGCAGCCTGGACCTTTCTTCCCAAAGGTGTGTTATTATCTAAACTTGTGCTCAATATTCTAAATTATGCATTAGAGTTCTTTCAGTTATAGCTTATATAGACTACCGGTTAAATATAGTTTTTGTGTGTTTATATGCCTCTTTTTTCTAATTGGAGTATGCATAGTTGGAGCCCCCCAAACCCCTGCAGACATCAAGAAAAATATGAAATTTTGTGGGCTAGGGGTGTGGTTTGGTCTTCAAATCCTGTATAGCTGATTTATGTTTGAGTCAAGAGGAGGAACCGGTCACTCATTTATTTATTGCATGCCTGTACATATCACAAATCTGGGAGTGTTTTTCTATTCCTTATGCCTCCAATACCTGAGGGTCCAAGTTTCCCAAAGGAAGCTGCTAAAATTAAGTTTGATGGACCCATGAAAGGGGAGGGGTCTCCAGATGCATTGCAATAGGCAATTTGAGCTTGTTCTCTCACTGATTTTACTATTGAAGTCGCTACACATATTCACTGCAATGATGCAGCAATAGTTCCCTATTTTCTAAAAATATCATCAAATGTGAAGTTTAGAAACAATTTAGTTGTCTTCACCCAATGACCCAATGTGTCACCTTTACCATTATACTTTCAATCAGAGCCTGTTTACTTCTTTCCTCTCTTCCCAATTTGACTAAAGAACTGCCACTCTTGAACATTTTTAAATGATCCTGCCCTAGCTTTCCAAGGGAAGAACCAAGATGTACCAAATAAGGCTGGAATTACCTGCAGAAGTTTCAATCTTCCTCCCAAAACTATCATAACTTAAAAGTATGTTGCCATGCAGCACTTATGAATTAAATATGAAATCCTCTCATGAATGTAGAATATCATGGTAAGAGTGGACTAGCATAAAACTGAAAAATTCGAATGTTAGATACCAATATCATAGTAACAGTGACAAAGCTTTGGTCCTAACCCTTGTAATCCATTCCAGTCCATTCCGTGATTACTGTAATCACTAATGTCTTAATGTGTTATTATTATTATTATTATCTTTATATGTCTTTGTTCTTCCTTCTTTCTCCTAGATAAAATGCTTCCTTATTCCTAGAGTTGGAATGTTCAAGAAAGTAATTTCCTCATTTTGAAGTATCAGATATGACTTTCAGAAACAAAAACTTTTTTACACATTTTGCCTTTTGAATGTGTTCCTTGTTTCTTAGAAAATGGTGAAGACATACAAGTACTACGCTATGAACATGGACAGAAGTATGATCTGCACTATGATTATTTTGTCGACAAGGTTAATATTGCTAGAGGCGGACATCGCATTGCCACTGTACTTATGTATCTGACTGATGTGACAAAAGGTGGTGAAACAGTATTTCCTACAGCAGAGGTGAGTAAAATATTGCCTAGTAGCATTAGCTTGTTTATTCCATAACTGTTTCGATCTTTATTTATGGAATTTATTGCTACTCCAGATGCCAAAATAATAACATGCTTAGATCTTTCCCCATGTAATATTTTACTGATCTGTCCTACATGCTTGGATGCTAGTATTTTAAGCTATTCCTTCAACTTGAAATAGCACTGCAGTTGCATTTATCATGGATGTTGTAATAGTTTGATGGCGCTAAAAAAGAAACAGCAGAAAGTTTGTACGTTGTAAGGGTTATGGCTTAACCACTAATGGTATTAGATTCTGGTAAACCATTATTAGATGACCACTAAGACTGATGAGCACATCATCCAGGCATACGTTGCAGCATTGTAATTAAAGAAAAGAATTTCACTGACATTTCTTCTTTTTTTTTTTTTCTTTTTTTGGTTTGTGGAGGGGGGATGGGGAAGTGTTCTTTTAGTCATGATAGTGAGATGAGCTAAAAGGAGAAGGCAGAGAGCTTGTAGGTCAAAAGGGTTAAGTATTGGGAAAATTGTACATATTAGAAACTTAGTTGAACTTCGCAAGATATATTGGGAAATTATAACTTAAAAGCACAATATCAGTATATGAATTGAGATTCTTGTATCTATTCTGTGTCAGTGTATTGGTATCTAAGCATCATTTGTGCCTAGGGAACTCATCACTTAGATAAAGAAAAATTTGGTTTCATCTGGTTTTTCTCTTCTATATTGTTTACAAATTAAAGATTCTTTTCAGCATCATGTAGTATATTACTTTCTAGACTACCATGATTGTGGTTTAGTGTCATGTCTTGTCTTGATAAGAAAAAAATAAAATATCCTGACCTTTTCATGATTTAATAGGAGTCTCCACGTCGTAGATCACCCACTGTAAATGATGATTTATCAGAGTGTGCAAAGAAGGGAATAGCAGGTCAGTTCCTGCTGTAGATTTTAAATGTTTTTAGTAAGATCACTTACTGTTACATTTCTAAAGTGATATTGATAATGGTGTTGTATCTTTTATTCTACCCCATAAAATACTAGTTAAACCACGTAGAGGAGATGCGCTTCTCTTCTTTAGTCTCCACCCCGATGCTACTCCAGACCAGAGCAGTCTCCATGCTGGATGCCCAGTAATTGAAGGTGAGAAATGGTCTGCAACCAAGTGGATACATGTGAACTCATTTGACAAAAATATTGTAGCTGGCGATGGCTGTACGGATGAGAACGAAAGATGTGAGAAGTGGGCTTCGCTTGGAGAATGCACAAATAATCCAGAGTATATGGTTGGAACTCCACAGCTTCCAGGTGCCTGTAGGAGGAGTTGTAAGGTGTGCTAGGATCTTATTCCATTATGGTTCCCATATAGAGAATCTTCTGTATCCCACTGGGTTTCTGTCTTATCTCCAGACGTGCTGGGTTAAGACTTAAGACAACCTTTTTTTGCTGTAAGAATGTTTCACCGCTCTTGAAAAGAATATATTTGACTGGTAATTATTTTTTTATTAGACCTTCACTTCTCTTACTGTATTTTAATTGAAAGATATACAAAATGTTTCCATTAGAAAAATTGTCACTTGGATAAGTTTTGAGTCGCGTTGGAATGCAATTATAATGTCAGCAAATTTTGGTTGATGCGACAGCTAATTTGTTATTTGGTTCAGTAGGCTTTAGGCAGGGCCCCATAGAGTGAAGACAAGCTTCAGTGATCTGGCCATTAGGATCTCCACCTTCATTGATGGAGACTCTTAGACTGAAGTACAGGAGTATTACTGTGTTCTATGATGAATAGCATTCGATTAAGCAATTAGAAATTTGGGGTCTGTTTGGTAATTGGAATCCCATTTTCATTCCCTGTATAAGGGAATGCCCATTTCATTCCCCTCCCTCCCCTGGGAATGAGAATTCATTCCAGTCAATTTTGAGTCCCATTCCAATTTCAGTTTGAACTAAACAGGTGAGGGGAGTAGAGACCATTCCGATTTCGATTTCGATTTTGATTCTGACCATAAATCAACTGGACCTTTAGAATGTCGACGTATTTTTTAATGAATTTTTAGCAAGTTCAGAGTTCAAATGCCAGAACCCCTCCGCACGAGATAGACATTAGGTTATAATTTGCCCATTTGCCAAAAGAAAAAGAAAAATTACAGTTTCCCAAGACCAATTTTAATTTGGTTACTATAATTGCACATTAAGGCTATGTATGGTTTGATAGAAAATAGGAGAGAAACAGGTAGTTGAGGGAAAGCTATTAACAAAATTTGTAAATTTTCTAAGAAAAATTTCCCTTAATTTTGTCTCGTTTCTTTCAAACCAAACGCAGCCGAAGGGCTCAGATGATGAACCAATTTGATCACGTAATCGTGCTTAATAAGACAATACTGGCAAACACCCTCCTGAGAAATGTAGCACTAGCTTTAGCTTTTAAAAAACAAAATCATGTGTATCGGCAAACACCCCCCAAGTAATCGTTTTTTGCCTTTTTGCTGGATTTGTACAAAGCTCCTGTATCGCTTATGTTTCTGAGAGCATATCTGCTGCTTGTAGGACTCCCTTGTAATTTGCAAACTCCCTATAAAACATCGATGATCGTTGCACCAGCAATCAAATTAAAAAAAAAAAAAAAATTAATTCAAGTGATACTTTGAATTTAATATGGTTATGTTTGGTGCATTTCATGTCAAAATGCTAATACAGATTACAGGCATTTTGGCATGAAATTTGTTTGGTTGGTAATTATGCTGATTAGGTGTGGAATAAATGTTTTTCAGAAGAGTTGTGTTTGGTATTTGGCATTGTTACCTAAAACGTTTAAATGAAATGTTTTTATTCAATGCGACACTACCAAGGCTGTTTAACAAATTGATGAAACCCCATCAAAGTGACAATTTGATCTGAGTTGGTTGGTTTTTTAATATTTTCAGTTGGTTTTAGTTCATTAATATTTTCAGTTTGGTTTGACCATTTCTAAACCGATCAAAACCAAATTGATCTGACCATGGATATATATTACTATTTTATATTTTGAATATAAGTTTTTAATACGACTAAGTAGGAAATTTTCCATATTTTATAATTTATAATTTATTTTTTAATAATATCTTTGTAATTTTTAAAAGTTAAAATTTATTTTTAAATTTATTTTTTTTTAATTTTAAATCTTTTGAACTGACCAACCAAACCGAAAATCAGCCCACACCGATGCAACCCAAATTGGCTGCTTTTCACTAATGTTTGGTTGGTTTCAGGTGATCAACTCCCCAACCCCAACCTGATCAGGTTGGTTTAATTGGCCAAACACCTTATAACCGAACCGAACTGACCCATGAACACCATTAGACACCACCCTACTATATTTGATATCCATCATTGCCAATATGCAATGCGCCTGAATATACTGCACTTGCACTAAGGTGCCATCTAAAAGCTAGGTCAATAATGGATAGTTTCTTCAAACAAACAGTTGACTGAGGACACACCATCAATTTGACCTTTCCCCAAAACTCCTTGGTTTATGTTTTTACCAGAAATGTTTTATGACAGGCCGTTTTAACTCTAAACAATCTCAACCAAACAGAAAATTAACATTTAAACTCAAAACACGTAGGTGGCATGATGTGACGGTGTTTCAAATAAAAAGAAATCACCATACCAAACATCACCTTTAAATTCTGCCAGCAAATTTGTGTTTAATTGAGGGGTTCAAAGGGAACACCGAGACCATGGTGGCAGTATACGTGAGTGGTAGAGAATAAAGCATATTCAAGGACTTCACTTAACAGTTTAAGCTTTTAGGTTGAATGGTGGTTTTCTGAGATGGTATCAGAGCCACTTTGACCAAGTGGTCTAATGTTCAATTCTCGTCACCCCATTATAATTAATTAAGTTTTCATACAAAGTATGGATAGACCTGTGCTGTCCACATTTCAAGCCCAATGAACTTTTGTGTGAGGAGGCATGTTAGAGAATAAAACATATTCAAGGATCTCACTTAAAAGTTTAAGCTTTTAGGTTGAATGATTCTCTGAGAATGAATGAGCTCTGCTTCTCTTTTCGCCAATGAAGACACACTATTCTATATCATGCAGCCATGGAGCCTGAAGCACAAGAGAAACAAGAGTTTATTTTACTAATTTAATTATATATTAAGAAGAGTAGAAGACCTCCCTCACCTCATATCATGATCTCAACCTCCTCCATGCATTTGCACTAACCAACAAAAAACAGCCCTTGATCAGCGTTCATCGTTTTGTCTCAAACTTTTGGGGTTGGCCAAATTGCCATCAATCAATCATTTCATTGCTTATTCATCTTCTCTCTGACTCTGATCCCAACATTATATATATATATATATATCTATGATGGTGCTTTCTGCTCTCTGATGTTGAAAAAGCAGAGAGCATTTCAAACTGTTGAATCGTATTCTAAGGGGTAAGGGGGCCAAATGGCCAATGGCATCACAATTGTTCTTTATTCTTTGAAAGAAAGAGATGTTATATATCACTACTGAGTACTGACACTGATCGTTTTACTTTTCACTATTATTTTCTTCTCTCTCCACTCTCCATTTATTTATTGACGTATACCGATTAATTTGTTTGTATTAGTTATAATAATCTTTCGTCTCGTCTTTTGTATGTTTTCATTTCATCCTAACATCCCTAAATGGAAAGAAAAATATATTGCCAATTTGCCATGAAGAGGATCCCACCACTAGTCAGTAGATGAAGCTAGCTAGGTGTGCCGTGTAAGAATTAATGGACCAAGGCACCAAGCTGATCAACTCACGGACATTCAGAAGTAATAATTTTGTTATATCTCTTCTCATCTACCAATTACCAAACTGTTACGTTGTATCTTAGAGAGAGAGGAGCAGAGGGCCGCCTGAATTACTTGGACTTGGGCAATGACGACAATGCCATGACTGGACTACAATGTAAAGTTTTGCCTGGGATTAAAGAGATGGAAGGGTCTGTGTTTATTATTTCTGTATTTGAGAATATTTATACATATGTACGGTGAGATAAGTATGCAAGTGAAATACATGTGGATGAGGATGAGAGAGGGATAGAGATAAAAGGGGCATTCTTTTTTTGGATTTTGAAAGGGGAGAAAGTTGGTCAATGGGATTTTGACCAAGAAATATATATTCTTTTTTTTAGATTTTTGTGGGGATCATGAAAAGTTTATTTTTAGTAACTTTCCCCACAAGTGGGGAAATAAAATGGTCATTGCCTTATTTACATGGGAAATAAAAGAACATGGGTAAATGCACTTATCCGGATAAGTCTTTCCTAGGAAATATTTACCTGGGTAAGTGTATTTACTCGGATAAATAACTTACCACAAAGCGAACGGGGCCAAAGGAGTAACTATAAGATAACTACAATAGAATACAGATAGAGTTGGGATGATCTAATAGGGACTTGAATGCCTTGAGCTTGGCCCTTGTGAAGGCCCCATGCATGTATGCTATATAATATACCTCTCATAAATAGGGGTGTCCACGGTTCGGTTAACCGAACCATGGCCCTTTTTTGTAAACCAAACTAGTGGTACCGGTTTTTTCATTTTACCAAACCGAAATCGAACAGGTACCACCGGTTAACTGGTCCACCAATTTCGGTTTTTGATCGGTTCGGTTCTTCGGTTTTTCAGTTTTTTATATTTGTAATATATATTATATAAATATATGTATAATATTATATTATAAATAATAAATGATATATAATATATTATAAATATTTTAAAAATATATAAATATATTTATAAATAAATCATTATAAATATAATATAAGTATATATTTATATAAAATACGTAGAAAATATATAACATATATTAAGAATATTTATAAAATATACATATAAATATATCTACCGGTCGGTTCGGTTAACTGTCAGTTTTTTTTATAGGTTAATCGAAAACTGAACCGATCCTTTAATTTTTCAAAAATTCCGAACCGAAACCAAATCAACCGATTTGGTTAACCGCATTTTGTGATTCGGTTTTCTCAGTTCAATTCGAATTTTTTATTTTTTGGTTTTTCATGAACACCCCTATTCATAGAGGAACTTAATTTGTGTATTTATTTGTAGCGATGACAGCCAAATGTTTAGGATTTCACAACCCTTTGCAATATGAGGTCTATATGTAATTAGAGGCCATAGTGGCGGTAAGTATACAACATCAGCTGGTTGCTGCACAATAAACTGATCACTGATGTATATATACTAGCACCCTTTCAATGTATATATACTCATCTGACCATGGTTTTAAAAATTGATTTGGAAATAAAACCGTTTTGGCCATCAGTTCTTGGGTCAAACGATTCAATCATCTGATCCAAACCCTGATCGGACAATTTTGGGGTCCAAAACCATATCTAGAATCATGACTAGTTCTCGGATGAACTGGTCTCACCATCTGATCAGGTCCAATTTTCAAAATCATGAAAATGATTAATTAACCAGAAATGTAGTAACATCAACGCCCAGGATTGCATCATTTTTTTT